CACAGCTCCCTCCTGCAGCCGGGAAAGGGTTCCTGCACCAAAGCATCACCCACTTTATCTGTGCCCCACGCACCAGCTTGCGTGGTCGCAACCACAGTGGCCAAGAGTTTAATGATGTGGCTTTAAAAAGATTGAATGTAGGGGTTTTGAAGGAGGGATGTTAGGAGTGAACTGTGACCTTCGGAGAGCAAACTCGGGCTTTACCGTGCTGTGCACACACCTCACCCAAGGAATATTTTGGTTTCTGTGGCCACCTTTGCTTCACAAACCTCTCCTTGCTACCGGCGGGGCCCCGGGGGCGGGACCCGGAGGCAGGGCTGAAAGCCCATGGCTCTCCCCTCGCCCGGGCACGCTGCAGTTACACCCGACCTCCTTTCCTCCAGGTAAAGGTGGTTTTGGTGCAGAGACGCTGCTTCTGCGTCCCAAAGTGCGAGATGGGACGTGGCTATGAAGGCAGAGTCCCAAAACCACCCGGACCCTTATCAAACCCGCAGCCTCCTCCTAACAGCAAGCTTTCAAAGGGCCACCGCGGAGAGAAAACCAACGAGCCCTGCTTAATTAGCAGAGCTGATCAACTTTCGGTGTGCTTGGTGACCTTCACAAGTGGCACATCCAGCACCCACACCCTTAGTGGTGTCGCTGGTTCCTGACCCTGCACGAGGCAACGCTGTGCAGCCCCTCTTGCAAGGGGTTTGCAGTGGGGGGAAAAAACCCCCCCACCAGTAAATGGGACATACAGCAGAAACAAATTACCTTTTTTTTTTATAGTAGCTACGATTTTGCAGCTTGTGAGAGTCACAGAGGTTCGTTCTCGGGAGGACTGTCAACAAATCCTAAAAAAATCCTGCCCTTGTTACCTGGTGTGCTGGGTGCACCTTGCTTGGTGTAGTCAGGAAAGGCTTGCTGAGCGCTCAGCACTTCTAGAGATCCTGTAGGTGCCTAAATGTGGGTTGCAAGGTTAATGGCAGGCAGCTGTGGGTTTTGGGTGGTTTGGGTTGTTTTTAAGATGACCTAAGTCCCTATCTGAAAGAATTCTGCAGCAGGAGGGTGTATCTGCATCTTCTGGATGTACTTTGCAGGAGTGGCAGCTTTAAAAAAGCCATCTTGGTTGAAAATGGAGATTTGCAGATGTGGAGGCCTTGACAGAAAACGTGAAACCCCCCAAATCTCTTTTCACTTCCCCCCACAACAGTCCCAAATCCTCCAGGTTGACTCCAGAAACCCTCCCGATGGTGGGGTACATGGTCCTTCGCATGCTGCCTTGCTGTTTTCCGGTCTCTGGCATTAGAAAGTTAAAATGAGTGTCTGAGAATCAGTTGATGGGGTGGGGGATTCCTATTTTTGGCTTGGTTTTGCTGCTTCTCAGACTACTTTTTCCCCCACTCGCCTCTTAGCATGGATGGATTCCGGCTTGTGAAACTCAATGAAGTCATCAGACAAGTTGACATCGTCATCACCTGCACAGGTACGCGGTCCCCCCGAGGCAGGAGGACGGGTTGTCAGGGGTGCGCACCCTATAATTAGGTCCATCTTTTTCCAAAGGAAAGGGCAAAAAGATGGGGAGAGATGAAGATGGGTATTTACTGTGGATATCGCTGTCTGGCAGGCAACAAGAACGTGGTGACCAGGGAACACCTGGACCGGATGAAGAACAGCTGCATCGTCTGCAACATGGGGCACTCCAACACCGAGATCGACGTGGTGAGTGCAGGGACGTGCGCCGGGAGCGGGGACGGCACGGGGTGGGGTGCCGGTGCTTGCAGGACCCTTCGGCAGCGGTGTCTGACCGGTGCCGCTTGAGCAAGCACCTGGGAGGAGGTAAAACAATCCACCGCTCCCCGTGTCTCAGCAGTCGCTGGCAGACATGTCGTTGTCATTCCTGCGATCCCGAAGGATGCCAGCAAGCCAGACAAACTGCTCCAGCTTCCAGCGCAGTGTCCGGTATCCTCCAGCCTCATTCCTTCCCCTGGAGAGTCGGTGAATCGCCCTCTCCAGCCCAGTCCCTCTGCTTTCCTGTTATTATACCACTAAGACCCAGCTAAGGGTTCAGCTTGGTGCACGCTCAACCCCACCACGCTCTACTGAGATTGGCTGGTCTGTGCTTAGAGAGAAGTAGAAAAACAGGAGAATCTTGTCTGAAGGTCAGTGGAGAATTGCTCGGCCAAACCCGAGGGGTTAAAGCCGTTTTCTGTGCTGCCCAGCCCACCTGGCTGGGAAGAAGTGACCGCAGCCATGCAGTTGGTGACCATAAATCCCCTTCAGCCAGAACAGCTTGAACAATAGTTGTTGCTGGAGCTTTGATGTATTGTAATCATAAAAATAGTTCCAGGTTATGATTCATAAAGGTTTCATTCGTCTGGGACTGCGACCAGACCCAGAGGAAACTATAAGCCCAGGACAATGTCAGCGAGTTGCTTCCTCTTTTCCTTCCTATGATGTAGCTTTCTGGGTTTTGATCTTTCGCCAGTGCTTTAACTATTTTCACACCGTGTTTCAGGCAAGCCTGCGTACACCCGAGCTGACCTGGGAGAGGGTGAGGTCCCAGGTGGACCATGTCATCTGGCCAGACGGAAAAAGAATAGTCCTTCTGGCAGAGGTGAGTTGCAGGCAAAGGAGCAGGAATTGCAACCTGTTCTCTGCTTGCAGAGGAGGAAAACAAGGGCTGGATGAGCGGTGGAGCCGAAGCGTGTCCAGAAATCACCTCCTTGGGCCTCAGCAGCTCAACGGTCCCTCTGGATAAAAGGCTTGGTGTAACCCTGTTTTAGCTGATGGGTCACTGGAAAGCAGAAAAGCTCCTGTGTTTTTCTTTATCCCACCCCGGGGTGTCTCCCACAGGATATTTTACCAGATTTTCACTTCTAAAACGTTCTACTGAGTTATAAGGACAACCAGTATCTCGGGATTCAAGTGCATGTGATAAAAGTTTCATCCCAGAAGGGACGCATTTCATGGGTGATTCTTGTACCTTCTGTAGGGTTCTAAACTGGTTTTGGTGCCGTGTTGAGATAACAACCCGTTTTTGCTTCCCAGGGCCGCTTGCTGAACCTGAGCTGCTCCACCGTCCCCACCTTCGTCTTGTCCATCACTGCCACCACACAGGCAAGTAGGGTTTGAGCTGAGCCAAACGCGGCGTCTCACTCCATAGCAGGCAGCACTTACCTAAGTGTCTTCTCCACCCAGGCTTTGGCTTTGATAGAGCTCTACAACGCTCCCGAAGGCCGCTACAAACAAGACGTGTACTTGCTGCCTAAGAAAATGGGTAAAGATGTGCTGCTTGTCTTCTCTTTTTTGTTTCTGAGCTTGAACAGATGGGAGGTTTTGCTAGGCTGGGCTGAGGTCGGCCCGGCATCGCAGCCTCCTGGGCTCTCTTGTTTGCCTCCCTGCCAAGCTCAGGGTCTTCCAGCAAGTTCTTCCCGCTGGCTGGGCTCTTTGCTAAATTGGATGCGTTGTTTCCCCGTCCCACCTGGGGAAAACATGGGGACGCGCTTGGCCGAGCGCAGGAGTCCGTCCACGCTGGTGCAGGAGATGTTCATAGAGGACTTCTGCCAGCAGAGCCGCCTTCGTTGGCTGCGAAGACATGTAGTCCCTGACAACAGCTCTGCCAGCAGAACCCCCTCTTGAGGACACAAGCTAAACCGACCACGCTTTTGCTGCAGAATTGGTCTTTTTTTGGTGTTAATTGTATTTTTTTGAGACCAGGTGCAGCTTGTCCCTAGCTTGGATCTTTGGTGTGACCTACCAGAAATGCCCAGTGGCTCCTGTGTCAGTGGAGCATCCAAGCTTGCCCAAGAGTACGGCATAACACAGCAGCGCACCCAGGAGTCCTGCTAGACGGGACCTGTTCAGGGAAAGGTTTCCCCCTCTAACTCAAAATAGATAAGAGCCTCGGTTTTCTCCGTTCAGGGTGAAAAGCAGTCCTGCAGTTTAGCAGCAGAGGTGTGAGGAGCAGTGCTTTTTTCCCAGCTGGGGCTTTAGGGTCCCGTTGCCTTCCCTTTGCCATACTAATGAGGCTTGAAATCGTTTCAGACGAGTACGTGGCAAGCCTTCACCTCCCAACGTTTGACGCCCACCTGACAGAACTAACGGACGAACAAGCAAAATACCTGGGACTGAATAAGAACGGACCTTTCAAACCAAACTACTACAGGTGCTGCTCCTCAACCCCCACGCCCCACGAGCGTGGGGCACGCCTGGGGAGGGGGGCAGAGGGCACAGGGTTTAAATCCCTTGAGAAGATACCATGGGCTCTCCGATAATTCCCGTTGCCGCGCAGAACGCGGTCCGGCCAGGAAGGGGAGGGCGCGGCTGGCGCTGTGACGCGGCACGCTTGGCAGGACGCGAGCCCTTTGTATCTGGCGGCAGCTGTCACCCAGACGTGGCGAATGGCGGAGCGATGCCATCCGGCCAACTCGGATGACAGCTTTATTTTTAAAGTTTGAGGAAGGATGAGATGGCGCAGAGCAGCGTTTGCCCCTCAAGCTGGGGGCTGCTCGGACGGGCTTGGCTCCATGGCTTTCCTCCCCCCGCGCGGGCTCTGCTGATCCCCCCAAAATAACAATAATTTTCAGTATAAGCCACTGGATCACTTCCCTTTCCGAGCTTACGTCTGTAGCCAACACTGCAATGCATTTTTTACCGTGAAAATGAAACGGTTTTGCGGGGGTTGAAGCCCTGATCCTTTTCTGGCAGGGAAAGGCATTTTCCTGTGGCACAGGTCTTCAGCGCTCACGCGAGAGCAATGCTGCACCAAAACGCTTCAGTTTTGGGGCTTAGTGGGTTCTGCCAGATTATGAGGTTTTTTTCCTGCCTTATGTTGCGTGCAAAATGATTAAGGTGCTGCCACACGGCCGTGCCCTCCCGTAGAGGAATTTCCTCTGGCTCAATTTTCTTTTCCCGGTTTTGGTGTCTGGCTGTAGCCCCAACCTTGGTTTTGTCCCACGCGCAGGGAAGTTGGGATAAGTAGAGGGTCGTGGCAAATTCCCTGCGTCAAGGGAGAGCCATGTACTCAGACAGCTTTGGCTTGCTGTCCTGCGGGAACTGAAGCCTCCAGATATGAAAGGCAGAGAGTCAAGTTTTCCGAAGTTCCCTATTTTGACGAGTAGGTGCGTGGGATGGGAGGCGAGAGGAGATCTCCAGGTGCACGTAGCCTCTTTTTCCAGGTACACCAGGCAGTTAGACTTCATCCCCGTGCAGCTCAACAGCTTCTTTGCTGAAGCGAGCACCTCCCTCTCCTTACAGTAGCTTCATTTGCGGTACGAATTACCTGCTTTTGGTTCCCCACCTAACGGGAGTCTTCCTGATAAATTCCGCCAGTTTGAGCCAGGCTTTGGTGTTCAAGGCATTTGCTCTTGCACCTTCAGTGCATCCTCCCTGGTTTCTGAGATGATGCTGCCGCAAACCGGTGGGACTCGGTCCCGGAACGAGTTGGGCACTGTTGAATTTTCCCCTTCCCGCACTCGACAGCGTTCGTTTAGGCGGCTGAATGTAATGTGGTATTTGTGGGGGAGGAGGTGAGGACGGGCTCCCTTTCTGAATAATTTCTTTTCTTGGTGTTTACTCCTCCCGAAACACACCGTGTCGCTGCCGGGGGAGCTTCGCGTCTTTTCCCCAGCAGCTCACCAAAACCTCATTTTCTCTTCCCCAGATACTAAGTTCCTGCCGCTGTATCCCAGAGAATCGCGAGGAACAAGAACCCAAGTCTTTTCTCAACTACTGTACAGGATGAAACAGCGCAAGCTTCCTAAGTTAGAGCCGGGCTTGCTCACATAGTAGACAGTGTGTTTAGGTTATTTATTTATTAAATTAGAATACTGTACATGCGGCCTCTGCCACTGGTGTTCGTACTGCCATGGGACTGGGAGACGGTGGAATTCTTTCTGTTCGTTTCATTTTTCTCTTTGGGTTGTTCTTTTTCGGGGCTGGGAAGATGGGGAGGCGCAGAAGAAGGTGGAATTGAATCGCTGCGATTTACTTGGAATAGTCCGTTATCACCGTTAATCCGATGTGCACGACGGGAGCCACGGGATCCGGCTTCAAGGTCGCATCGTGTGTTGCTTTTGGTTTCCTTCGCATCCCAGCGCTTCTTGCAGCTGAGCAGGATCCCGGGCCGGCTGGAGGGCGGCCGGGTTTGCAATTCTCACGCAAAAAAACCTCTTCTGCTCCAGGCGCTGCCGACAGCCTTGGCGGCGAAGCGGTAAATCTCGCCGGCCATCGCTGGAGAAACCTCTCGTAACTCTGCTGAACTGCCCGAGGGACGGTTCCGCCAGCGAGTCGGTGAACTTCGCCTTAGCACTGCTGCAAGCTGTAACGAAGGGTTGGGTCGTTAGTGTCAGCCGGGGACAGCCCCTAGCGCACAGCCGGAGCTGGGAGGGCAGAGCGGTGCCCTCTTGGAGGCAGACATGGG